TAAGTGAAACTTTCTACTCTAATTCAACTGTGCATCTGTTTCCCCTTGCTCGTGCCTATTTGTCTCTTGAATATTTATTTCTAGTCCGGTCTCTTCTGTACTGTTTTTAATTGTGAATACAATTCTACCGCCTCTTACCTTCTGCGAGACATAATAGTGATGTCATCGACATAGGCGGCAATCTGTATTGATTTGTTTGTTAAGAGGTTAGCTCTTCCTATATTCAACTGCCTTATCACTTTTTCGAGAATCAGGTTGTATACTGTCGGTGCCAGTTCATCTCCTTGCTTTAATCCTTTAACTATTGAAAAGTTCTCAATGAGCTCATTTCGTATTCTAACAATTGCTGTTGACAAGTCCATTGTTGTTTTTACTAGTCGGCTGTTGTAACTTGTGTGTATTAACCTGTTTGAAATACATGAATATGTTGTGGATGTCAATGTCGTATTCTCACGATTTGTTTAGAATTTGTTTCACTGTGAATAGCTAGTCAGTTCGAGATCTTTCTTGTCGAAAACAGGTTTGATATTCCCCGACAATATTTTCAGTTAAATGTTGGAGTGGTTTGTTTAGATTAGAAGTCCCAGTCTGTTAGTAATTGTTCTCATAAAAAGCTTATATAAATGAGATAACAAGCTTATAGGTCTGTAGTTTCCAATTTCTGTTCATTTTTATGCAATATTATCACAACGGCACTGTTCCATTTTCTGGTGAAATTCCTCGAAAAAGGAAGGTATTATAAAGAGTTCTTAACACTTTTATGACGCATTTGCCTCTTAGTTTTAAGATTTCACTTATAAAGTCATACTTCTACAGGGTTTTGTTGTTCTTATTCTTCATGTACCATGTCCTTTCAGAACGTTGGTTACCATCATAGCTATCTTAATTTTATTCACTGCCACCCTAAATAGCATGCTGGTATCAACACCATACCAATATCGCAAGTTCTTCAACCATTAGGTTCTTCTTCGTCCCGGACTGCGTTTGCCTACTATTTTTCCTTGCATGATATTTTGTAGCAACCTATTAAGTACACCTTTTAAGGCTGATTCAATATCCTCTTCGGTTATATCCTGAAGTTCCTCTCATCCTTGTTTCTGAATTACTGAGATTTCTACCTCTGGGATGGGTTCATCTGGACGATATAATGTTCTATACTACGATGATTTTCAGGATCTCTTATTGTTCATATATGACATGTCCTTATTTCTTTTTAAACTATAAATATCCCTCGTTCTTATCTTCAACTTAAATTTTAGGACTTTTAGACATTTGTTTTGTTATATGGTATTAGTTATTTCTTTAGTGTTAAAGTTCCTTATATCTTTCATAACGGCTTTTAAAATTATTTTGTTTAAATTTCTTAGCTCTTCTAAGCTTTTTGTATTAGGTTTCTTGTGTCTTCTGTGAGTTTTTCATTTTATATTTCTCGATTTATATTTATAAACAATTTTCTATTATGGTGTAAAATATTTTTAATACTAGTTTTTTATTTCATTTAACTAAGCATTGTTACCTTAAATCTAAGGTAACAATGCACAAAAGGAAGCATGCACAATTAAAGTTTCGATGGTGTTTTCCAGCATATCGAGATAAATGTCGCTACTTAAATTGCCTGGTATGAACAAGGGGATAATTATAGCTTCGCCTAATATTCCTGCCAAACATTAAGTGTTTCAGGATATTGAGTGTGACCTTCTCTGAGTCGATACAGGTTCGCATCACTCCAGTACCGACAGTTTTGTTTATTAAGACCATTCAGCATAAAAGTACATTCATCAGTGAAACAAATATTTTTTAACATTCTCGGCTCAACGCGAATTCTTTTAGTCATGAGTTCACAAAACTCAATTCGTCGGTCTGGATCTTCATCGCCTAGTTCTTGAAGAATTTGTGTTTTGTACCTGTGAAACTTATGTAATTTCAACACCCTTCTAACCGACTCATATGAAAGTCCTGTCATTGCAGATACTTGACGTGTTACTGCAGTAGGTTCTATTGCAAAATTTCCAAGGACTTGGTGTTTGGGATGCTTCATTCAGTAATCTTGGGGCATCCCTTTTTTTATTTTGCACTGATCCCGTTTCTCTAAACTTTTCAACTAAATCACGGACGTATACGAGACTTAAATTTTGTCCGGTTGCCTTTCATGAAATATTTGAGTTGTGTAAATAACACTGGTTCTGGGAGGCAAATATGAAAATGATCATTGTGACAACTACACCTGAATGACAGTACCGATCGTACACATAATGAAAACTAATAACATTTAAAATTCTCAAATAAACTAAAATTGAATCTGAAGATTCTGAAAACAGAATCTGAAAAGAATCTGAAGAAAACAGATGTTTTCAACTTGTTTTGCAAAAACGGCAAATTAAGTTTTTATTTAACAAAAAAATTCCGACGAGCACTTGTCATTAAAAATAATAGTCCGGGAGATAGCATTACAAATACAAAAGTCATAGTAAGTCGGCTGATATTAACACCCCATATAATTATTAAACAATAATTATACAGGGTCATCAACCTAATCAACAAGAACCTTGTTAAATTTTCCATTTAAACTAAAGTTTCACAATTATTGCTTCACCCTATATAATTATTATTTATACCATTCTTCTTCTTCTGCTAGTACCTATCCTCTATGGATGTTGGCTACCACTATGGCCCATCGTATTTTATTAGCAGCTGTTCGAAATCGAAATAGGTCTGTGGTGGTCATACCTGTCCACTGTCTCAAATTCTTAAGCCAGCATATTCGGTGGCGTCCCGGTCCTCTATTTCCTTATATTTTCCCTTCTAATCAATAGTAGGATTCTGTATTTATTTTCATTTCTTACTGTATATCCGAAGTATGCTAACTTTCTCTCTTTAATGGATTTTAAGACTTCAGGTTCTTTTTGTAAACGTTGCATTACTGCGTCGTTAGTTATATGATGTACATATAATATTCTGAGCATGCGACGATAGCACCACCTCTCGAAACACTGGAACCGTCTATAAGACGCATCAGTGAATGTCCATGTCTCTGTTGCATACATAAGAATAAAAAAACACATAACAATTAAGGATTTTGAGTGGGAGATGTAAGTTATTATTACTACTAGCATACGCGGATGACATTGACATTGTAGGAAATACCGTCACCAATGTAAAAGAAACCTTCAATAAATTAGAGAGAGAGGCAAAAAATACCGGTCTAAGGGTCAATGAAGAGAAAACCAAATATATGTGCATTAACAGACAAAAGAGACGAGATAGAATAGGACAAAATGTAACAATAGACCCCTTTAACTTTGAAAGAGTGGAGAGTTTTAAATATCTCGGAGCGAATATCACCACAGATAACGATATCACGGAAGAGATAAAAAGGATAATTCAGGCAGCAAACAGATGTATGTATAGCCTCCACAACACTATTAAATTCAAGAGCCTAACACGGACATCAAAAATCAGGACATATAAAACAGTAATTAGACCGGTGCTCATGTATGGGTGTGAGACGTGGTCGCTGACAAAAGCAATGGAAAGTAAACTCAGATGCTTTGAGAGAAAAATCCTCAGAAAGATCTTCGGTCCCTATCACGATCCGAATACTAACAAATACCGAATGAGAACAAATGCCGAGGTCAAACAAATGTATAGTGCTAGCGACGTAGTCCAAGAGATTAAATCCCAACGTCTAAGATGGGCTGGCCATGTTCATAGGCTCCCTAATAACCGCCTTACCAAGTTAATCTGGGAAGAAGTCCCGACAGGGAGAAGGCCCTTAGGACGTCCACGAATGCAATGGAGAGATAATATATGGTCAGATTTGAGAACAATAGGCTACCAACTGACAAACATCATGGACGACCGTTCGAGATGGAAGCAGGTTGTGCAGTCAGCCAAGACCCACCCCGGTTTGTAGTGCTACCAGAAGAAGAAGAAGAAGATGTAAGTTGAAGGTTAAATTGCAGAGAACTTTCTTCATCTGTTGAAAGGAACTCCTTGCTTTTTCGATCCTACATTTAATCTCGTATGAGTGATCCTAGCTGTCCGTGATGTTGCATCCTAGGTATGTTATTTTTTCTGTTCTATCCAATACTTCATTGTCTGCTATAAACTTTGCATCTGTATCTTGGTTTTTACTTACGATCATAATTTTCGTCTTCTTATTATTAAGTTTCATTCCATATTTTCTACCGATGTTAACTGCTTGATCTATCAGTCTTTGTAGTCCTTCAGCACTATCCGCAGCAAGAACAGTGTCATCTGCATATCTTAAATTATTTATTACTTCACCGTTAATAATCACGCCGTCAGTCGTTCGGAGTACGCATTAAACAGCAAAGGCGAGAGTATGCAACCTTGTCGTACTCCTCTTTGTATTGGGACTTCATCGGATAATTGATTATCTACTCGAATCTTGGCTACTTGTTTTCTATAGAGATTTTTTTATTTTTATAGTCTTTTCAATTATGTATCACAAGTAGGGATTTGTAATTTAAACTTTTTTTATTGAGGTGTTGGGGCCTAGGGAGTTGATGGGGGTAAGTTCTCTTTCATGTCATTTTAGTTCCCTCTTACTATCCTAGAAACGGTTTTAAGTATTTTTCGATATCAGCTTTTGTTCGTGAGATATAGCCCACATTGACATACTGTATATCTCTCAACGGTCCATTTTCTTTTTGATTCATTTTAATCTATAAATTTAATTCTGTTTAATCTATACAATCATTAACAATATTAGTCTACAATGGCAAATCAGAACTAGCAATCTTTTATCATCCTGTCATCTCTGATTTTGAATTAGACTGATTTTTTTAATGAAACAATCAACGTAAGTACATTTACATACCTAATTTCTCATAAAAATGATTTAAATATAATCTAACGTATATGTATTATGGCTAATTTACTAAATATTTAAAGATATAAAATTTAATCTTGGTTTTATTCATTGTACTTCGTTATTGGCTACCGCAATTTTTTAATCAGTCTCTCTTTGTTTTCAGATAAATATGGAAGTGCTGTCGTCGTCCAAACTTGCCTTAACAATTCTTTCAGTATTATGTTGTAAGTATTAAATTACGTGCATTATACATCTAGGTATAATATATTAACAATTTTCAAATGTAGACAATTATCAATTCCAAATGTGTATTAAAACTATAGATATAATAAATTTTTAACCTTGGAAGTTTGCGAAAAACACTTCTTGTAATTTCATGACTGTTATTGATCATTGTATATCATGTTGGCTACTATATTCGCCATCGTGACTATATTCAGTAGATGCTCTAAATAATGATCTAGTCGATTTTTCGTACCTTTGTCTTAGATTTTCCAGCCATGATATTCTTCTTATACCAGGTCCACGTGTATCTTGGATATTTCCCTGAATGATTAGATGCAAAATTTCATATTTTTTAGGATGTCTCATCATGTGATCGGTTATTCCAGCTTGCGTCTCTTTATTATATGGAACAGTTGTGTTTTTTTGATTCAGCCGTCCAATGACCTCCTAATTTTTAACTCTGTCGACACAGCTTATTCTTAGTAGTCATCTGTATCCCACATCTCAAAGCCTTTCAAGAGTTTAAGCATAGCCTCACTTAGCAACTCCATACAGTCGAACTGGAAAGATACAGCAATATGTCATTTGAACGAGAAGGCCAATACTAAAATCGTAGCTGCAAAGTACGTTCCTTATTTTTACAAATGTAGGCGTTTTCTCTATTCGGCTTTTAATTTCTACTGTTGGATACCAGCTTTCATTGATATTACCTGAAAACAAAAATAAGGCTTCTTAAATGTTACATGTACTCAATGCTTCTGTATGGAGTAGAAACGTGGACATTGAAGGCGGAAACTCTATCAAAACTTCAGGCTTTTGAATTATGGTTATATAGAAGAATCCTGAAGATACCATGGACAGACAAAGTCACCAATGAAGAAGTACTGCGGAGGATGAACACAACTTCGGATTTGGTCAACATTGTCAAAAGCCGTAAGCTGGAGTACTTGGGACATATAATGAGAAATCAAGGCAGATACGAGCTACTCCAATGCATTTTGCAGGGTAAAATTGAAGGAAAAAGAGCCCCAGGACGAAGAAGAATATCCTGGCTTGCTAACCTGAGAGCATGGTATAGAAAGACCTCAACACAGCTATTTCGTATAGCAACCAACAAAATCATCATAGCCAGAATGATCGCCAACGTTCGGAACGGACAGGCACCCTAAGAAGAAGAATTTATATTACTACTGAGATAGACCAGTTTGTCTACTCTGTCGTGTACGGCATCTCCGACTTGTATACCGTCACATCTAGTATATAATTTTGTTTGTTCTCCTTCTTAACGTTCTGAAAAGTTCTATTGACATTTTTCCACTCCATTGTCTCAAATTCTTCAACCAGAAAGTGTGTCTTCCTCTTTTACCTTCCACCTTCCCTTGTATGACCACCCGCATCAATTCGTATTTCTCGTTTCTTAGTATGTGACCAAAGTAGCTCATTTTTTTCCGCAATTGTTATGTGTTGTGTCCAACATATTTTCCACATTCTTCGATAACACCACATTTCAAAGTTAATGAGTCTTTTCTCTGTCGCCTCTGTAATTGTCCAGGCCTCAACTCCATACAACAGGACAGAAAACACGTAGCATCTCAATACTCTAGTTCTAATTTCAATGTTGAGTTTTCCATTGCATAATATTGCTTTCGTCTTATTAAAAGCACTTTTAGCTATCTCAATACGCCATTTTATTTCCGTACTTCTATCCCATTCTTCATTTAGTTCGCAACCTAAGTACTGATATCTGTGCACCCTGTCTAAAAGTTTTCCTTTAGCATAAACACTGTCTTCCTCAATCTTGTTCTTGCTTACCACCATGATTTATGTTTTATTTGTATTTAGAGCCATTCCATACCTATCGCAGTATTGGGTAATGCGATCAACCAAGATCTGTAGTCCTTCTCTGTTGTCCGCAAGGAGTATTGTGTCATCTGCGTATCTAAGATTATTCAGAAGTGCTCCATTAATAAATATGCCTTCATTTACGTCTTCTCATGCCTCTTTAAACAATTCTTCTGAATACGTATTAAAAAGTATAGGGGAAAGCACACATCCTTGTTTTACTCCACGATTTATAGGTATTTCTTTCGATTTTTGTTGGTCTATTGGTATTATATTCGTATAATAGACAGTAAGCGAGGGCCAGACAGGAGAAGACACTCGTGGCTCCAAAATTTGCGGAAGTGGTTCGGGCTCACATCGGCCGAACTATTCAGAAGCGCCGCAAACAAGATCAAAATTGCCATGTTAATAGCCAACGTTCGCAACGGACAGGGCACTTGAAGAAGATTCGTATTATGGATTTCTGATATCGGTATAGATTGGCAATGATTCTAGCGTCTTCGTTATCTAATTCTATGTTCTGCAGTATTTTTGTCATTCTTCGGTGTTGTACTTGGTCGAAAGATTTTTCGAATTCGACTAGACATATGAATACGTCGCAATTGACATCTCGAAATCGTTCGATTAGTATTTATACTGTAAATAATGCTTCTCTGGTGCCAAAGCCTTTTCTGAATCCCAATTGGATTTCAGCTATTCGATCATCTAGCTTTTTATAGATACGTTCATTGTATCACTCGTAAGAACACTTTTAGAATATGGTTCATCAAGCTAATTGCCTTGTGCTCTTCACACTTCATTGGGTTTGATTTTTTGGGTATTGGAATGAATATTGATATTAACCATTCTTTCGGAATCTCTATTCTATTAGTGTCCATATGATTTTTTGTCAATAAATTTGTTTGTTTGTTAACCATCATATATTTAGTTTTCTTAACGTTAAGTTTTAATCACAGCGAAAAGCACAGTATAAGCTGATTGATAAGGTCTTGTGTTTTTTTTTAAGCTGTCTGGGCTTCAATGTCTATAAATTCCTCTGTGTGGTAAATTTCAAGTCCATTGTGTAACTACAGTCATAGCCTTGTATTTTATCTCTGACTGTGCTATTAAATATCAGGTAAGATGAACAAATTATCAGTATAGTCCAAGACATAATGCCTGGTGTTCTCTACCTAGCCTCTAGGTACCTGTGGTGACATTATATCCCATAGAAACGTTACGTTTATCACACAGCTTCTCAGCAAACAATCTATCTATCCACAGGTTTTTTCGTATAGTTATTTTAGACTAACTGCTCTTGATTTCTTCATAGGAGGTATTTTTAAGTGCTTTTTATCAATAATTGCACCCTATGATAATGCCCTCTACACGATTATCTTTTTGCAACTTTCACCTCCTTATTACATTTAGTCAGAGCTATGCAATAATCGCCCCACTCATCTGATTTTTTAGCGAACTTAAATTTTCGTCAACTTCTGTCCTTTGATTCGCAAGATTGTTAATATTCCACTTTCCTTTTGGAGTTCCTTGCTATCTCTGAGAATTATCTTCGAACGCCGACTTGACAACCTCTTGAAATTGTTCAGTAGTCATGTGGGGGTCCGGTGTATGCCTTATCATCGTTTTAACGCAGCCTAAACAATGTTTCAGGTCTGCTTGATATGCTACCGATAAGAGGGTTACGAGAAGTTTCTTTGATATGTTTCCTTCCTAACCAATGTTCCAGGTCTGCTTGATATGCTACCCATAAGAGGGTTACGATAAGTTTCCTTGATATGCCCATTGCCCATTATTTCAAAACAGATGTACCCATGGTCTGAACAAGACACCTCATCTGACACATGCCATTTTTTTAATAGTTCAAGTCACTTGAATTGTGACCATTGTTATATTAATTATCTCTTTTCGTTATTTAATTACACAAAATTGGTTTGTTTCCTACATTTAGTGTGTCTAAATCATACTCCATTTCAAACTGTATTAATGACTCTTTTATTGGTGTTTGTGCTGATCCAGGTCAGATGGTGAGTATTTGCATCCCAATCGATTATCAATAATTGCAGTTCATTTACCGTTCATTCTATCACTAGCTGTTCCGTATCCCTTGATGGTGTTTGTTTGAAGTCATCACATGGGAGTTATGGTGATCTGAGAATTATCTTCTTCATAATACTTCCTCCGTGATCTTAAATCCCTCGAATAGAATTTCATCAACGACATTATTTTGATATATCGTTAGGCTATTTAGCCTCGTGACGTTGACAGATCGTCTATATATAGGCTCTTCACCAATGCCCGATATATCTCTTATTTGGTCCTGATAAATCCAGTGCTCTTGTCTTAAAGTTATATCCAACATATAGCAACAGTAACTTCTGCCGAAGCTATCTTACTGTGCTGCAGGTTCGCATGTAGAACTCTGGAGCCATGCAGGCCTCTCATGGTGTTGAAGAACAGCTTTCTAGTGAATTTTAAATGGTTTTCATGGTGGGACTCTAACAAGGTCAATTCAAAAAAATTGACTGGGTTTTCGGAGGCTGATACAAGAATTAGCGCCATAATATAATTTAGTCGATCGGATAGCCAAGTGAGCTCGGCGGCTGGCTACTCCTTCGCTTCAATGCGAGAGATGTCAGTTCAATCCCCAGCTCGGTGTACAGAAAACAAAAAGGCAAACGCAGCAGTTTAAAATTCTAAATAAATCTACGGCTTAGTCTAGAATATGCTGGTATCTGATCGGCCTATGGTGGAGTAGTACGGCAGGAGATAAGGGCTTGTGGTTCGGTGATTCATAGATCCCTACCGGAAGGGCGTCTGCCGCCTAAATACCGGAGATATATATATATATATATATATATATATATATATATATATATATATATATAATATATATATATATATATATACTTTAAGAGGACCATTTAAAACGCAATTTTTGTACTGACTTTGTGTACAAGTACTTATATGGCAAAGTTGCTAAAAAAGTTATAGCATTAATCGAAAAATTTGATTACTTGATTACATATCGTTTACGTCTCTTTGCTTAGCCTGACTATGGTCATGAAATATTAAAAAACTTTGAGAGATCATCAATTATATTGTAATAACACTTGACAGTCGCCAAACTGATAACACATTTTCCGAATAACTCGATAAC